ACTAAAAGGGGGAGGCAGAATCTTATTTCCCTAACATTTCCCAAATATCCTCACGGTGCATTTTTGTTCATGCACCTAGCCTTTCTTTTTTTTCATTAACTTATTGCAGTCATTTTGATACCAATTTTATGACAATCAAACATACTGTTCTGTGACAGATCAGCCAAAATCCATACTTGTTTCATTGCAGGTGTTCAGGGTTTTAGATAACGTGCGTATTGCTATTGGTATATTTACGCTTCCCGACTAGGCAGTGTAGTCAAAATATGCACCTCATGCAAAACATAAAATACGCAGTTATTTCTACTATAGAGTACCATAAGTTTCAATATTTTTCATGTTTCGTCAATTACGCCCTGCTGAACAGAGTAACATTTGTAGCGTATGCTACTCAAGCCGATTTGTTCATGTTTGCCTACGTACAGCTTTTCTGCCACTGTGTGCATAAGCATGATAAATCGTTCAGACAATCCCAAATCGATGGGAAAGACCCGAAGCGAAATATTTTTTAGGTGGACTACTGTGCATGGATTTGTTTTTGTGTACAAAAACGTGGTCACCAGACTCCCCGAAGACAGGATGCAATAAAATTGATGTCTAGCCCGTGAGGACCATCGATTTTTGGAGGAATGGATAGGGTTTGAGTTGCCCGAATTCCTCATTGAAAACGCCATGAAAAAGACATGAAGTTTTCTGCAAGTTTTGATCCCCTAAACGGGGCATTTATTCAAGTGGCATTTTAGAGGTTTTCTGGTACATCTACAAGAAACTAGGTATCAATTTTAGAAAATTTTGGTCTGAAACACCTGAGAAAGATTGAGATTTTTGAGTGTGAGCATATTTGACTGCCGAGCAATGAAGTGCACCGTGATTTTCCGAATGGCTACTGCCTGCCACATGGTAACCTCATGTGTTGCAAAACACGGGCGGATATGGACTTACATGTACATGTTGGTGATTTTGTCTATGGTCATGATGGTGTCACGAGTTCATGGTTATCACTAATTGCTGTTTTTTACTGTGTTTTTGAAGAGAAATAACAAGGTTTATTATATTTACTCAGCAAAAGGACTAACTTGCATAATACTGGTACTCAGTTCCTTCACCTCCGCCTTTTAGGGACTACAGTACTCTTCCTCTCATGAAGAAGAATACAATACTAAACCATACTGAGGGAAAAAGAGCACTGTACTCACGGCTTGAAGAAAATCATCTAAATCCCCGGGTGTGTTAACATTTTTTAATTATTAGGGGCTTCCCATGAAGTACCTGAAGTGTACTTGCATGTAGAGTGGAAGAATGGTTATTATGTTCATGTTGCAAATGAAGGGAGGGTGTCCAAGACAGTGGGTACATACATGTACTGTACATACACAGAACAATAAAATCGATATTAATGAAATCCTTTTGATGAATTGACATGAAAACAGGATGATTGCAGATACAGTTGTTTTGTGTTTTCATTTATAACACATAGGAAATGAAACATGCGTTTGTGAGGTCAGAATGATAATAAAATGGCCCAAAATGAAAAAAAGGGACTTGAAAGATCTAAAAGAGATATTAAAACAAAAGTGCAGTTTTGGTAGAGCAACTGCATTAACTGGGGGAGTTTTACCAGGTTTGAAATTTTATTGGTATCGTTTTGTTTTTTAAGCTCCCCATATCGAGCCTATGTAGTGAAAGCTAGTGGTTTAGCAGCAGGCAAAGGAGTGATTGTCGCAAGCAGCCAAGATGAAGCATGCCAAGCTGTTAAATCTATCCTACAGGTAAGAGAGCAATGCCAGGATTTTTATACTACATGTACCATTACACCAGAGATCAACAACTACATGTAGCTTTTGTGACCTTATCCACAATACGAGTCAAAATTGAATCCACTTCCATCATGAAAGGTCTCGTAAAAACTTACTAAATATTTCTTGTGACACACTTTGGTCTATTGTGGCCACAATTGATAATACTACATCAAGGCTCACTTCTGCTTAAGTCGTTATATTGACGACTTCCATGAATGGATAGATCTATGCATGCTGTACATATAATTGGCTATCTCTGTAAATCAGGGTTAAGGTACCAGTAAATAATTAAAAAATCAAAATACATTTTCATGGAAAGAGAAAAAGAAATCGATCCTTTGACTTGCATGAACTGCATGCTGTGCCAGTGTTCCGTAAATGCAACCTTTTTCAACTTGTTCGCAGCTACAGATAAAATGACCTGTACATCATGTACGTGTGAAACTCCATGGGTGAATATGGTTTTCCAATAGACTTGGAAGCCAGACATCCATAGCAGTTATAGGCCTTTAAACAAATGCAGCAGGGTACCAGGTGTGCTTGATCAGCTTTCACATGACAGGTATCGATTACTAGTCGCTTTTAGCACTGGATTGTTCACCAATTTGAATCCAAGATTACAAGGACAGCAGCATGGCCCTGCTACTATGCACTGCATGATACAGATTTCCATTAAAGCATTCTACATAAGGACTAGGTACTCAGGTACCAAGCAGTGCAATTTGTGTGGATGAAAGTGTACGAGTCAACTATAAACTGGCCCTCATAATTGTTAATTTACAAACTTTGCAGACTTTCCCGCAAACGTGAAGCAACTTGCATAGCGCACATTGTGTGCATGCAGTGCAAATTGGTTCCTACAGCTAGAAATAATGAGAATGAGAAATAGCCTGGAATGGCTGGGAGCCAGTGGCCCCCCCGGGACAACATAATACGGTATATCTTGAACTTGACAACCCGGAAACATTAAACAATAAACAACTTCAGGATGCATGGGACATCATGTGCCCACCTTTTAAATCTGTGACAGCAGATTTTAGCATTTTGTTATGGGCTTCGATAGTCAGGCTTTGGCTCCAGCTAACGCTCCTATGAGTGCTATAACAGTCTTCCTTATGTACTTCTTTCATTCGGAGCTACATGTACAAGTATCTACAACTCATATCTACAGGTCAGCCCTATCTGCCATACACATTGGTTTCAAAGTCAGTTCAACTGCCTCTAACAGCATGGCAATCCCATCAAATTTTGCGTGGTACATGTATATTCATCCAATGTCCCGTTGTCGGGAAATTGGTCTGGTCATAAGACCTAAGCTGGTTTCTAAGATGCTCTCCAGTCCTTCGTTTGAGCCCTAAATGATGCTTCCCTTATGCACACCAGCAACAGGTTGATCTTTGTCCTGACAATGATTACCTCCAGAGGAGGCAGCGAACTACAGGCTCTCCCCGTTGCCAAAGGCTGCCTATGTTGGAGTTGCATGATGTTCACCTCATTCCTTTAATTGGCTTCCCGACAAAGGACCAGATTCCCTCACTTGATCCTCTGATATCTTTGCACTCTCCGTCTCCTTACATCCTGGAGATGATGTGAATAAACTTTGATGCCCTGTGTTCGTGTCCTGAAGTGGTTCCTGACTAAAACAATAGTATGAGAGGGACGATAACCACGTCACTTATCACTATCACGAAATCACACTGTCCAGCGGTGTCAGTCACTATTGTCTGCTGGATAGCCTCTGCCATTAGATTTGCTAATCCAGTCTAGCTGTCAAGTTCTGATGAACGTAGTCACCACTACATCAGGGTTCATGACATAAGAGCAGTATCTGCATCTTGGTCTTGCATGTTGCATGTTGTCTCCCTCTACCTCCTGCTACCTGAGGGATGTCCTGCAGAGCCACACCACAAATGGCAGGACAATAGAGGTCAAAGGGACCTCCTGCAGGACGGACGGACGACAAGTCATCATGGAGTTCATTTACTACCGGTATTTCTTAAATTTATACACTCTTCCTTGTTTATATGTGATTGTGTATTCTTGGCATTACATGTGTCATTGCCAACCACCCACCTACATGTAGACCACTGGTACTCTGCACATATAGTGACTGTTTGAATAGGTAGAGTGCGGTAGACTCCTCCCCCACATTAAGTGTGGGTCAGGTCTACTAGAGAATACCTACCCAAACAGTCCTCTCCCACCCATCCTCCCCACTCTTGCTCTGACCTTTTGATTTGCTTTTGGAAAGAAGGATGATCATGGTCAGGGTGCACCACAGGTGATCAAACCTTTCAGCAAATAAACAATAGACACATTGGAAATTTGCATATGTGTGACTGTTAGTGTTTGGGTAGGTATTCCCTAGTAGACTGGACCCATGCTTAACGTGGGGAGCACTTTCTTAAAAACAAAAAAGAGTTGCTTGGTGTTTTAAGAAAAAGGTTTACTTGCTGTCAGTCAAAAGTTTTAGGCCGTCAGTGAATTCCATCACTGATATGCAACAATGGGTTCCCAGGGCTGGAGAACTGGGCCTTTATTCGTGGCCAGGGTGACCGAACTTGGAAAATACTTTACCAAAAGTCCGAGCTGTTGGAACTTGCCAGTCAAGGTTCATATGCTGTGAGCGCTTAGTGCTGACCATTAGCAGAGGTAATCTATCATTGTTTTGCAACAGTACCATTGTTTGCCACTGCCAGTGCCTGCCGCAGATTGTTAGCAAAGACAAAAGCATTTCAGCGATGAGCAATACAATACCGCTGCGCCCTCCTAGAAACTGGCTGCATTAGTAAAGACAATACCGCTGTGCAGCGTTCGTTATGTTGGTGTGCCTGATGAGTGACCTGGTTTGCCCTCACAGCCCATGTGCTGCTTGAAGGCATTAGTGAAGACAAAACAGCAGTGCAGCGTTCATTGTGCCCTTGCAAGTTGCAAAATTGACTGACATGGCTCCATCCCTACATTGCCCATGTGCTGCTGGAGAATAAAATCGCGGTGTAGCCGCCATTGCGTGCGCAAATTGGTCTCAAGTTAGGAGTAAACGCACTGCTTCAGCAGTCCTTGTGATTTGGAAATTGTAGGCGTGTGAAAAAAAACACTCCTGGATATTTCCAAGCATGCAATTTTTCTAGGCATGTGATTTTGAGTTCCACACTGAACAATCTGGTGTAGTTCTAATTACATTCAATTCAAGAGCTCACATGAGGGGTTTGTACTTCGTCCAGTTCCAACTAAATCTGTGACAGTTTCATTAGAGTCCTTGTAAGGTTTTTCACCTGTGTAATTAATATTTTGGGTATCCAATTATACAGGCATGGATATCTTGCAAGCTTTCTCACAAGTTCAAATTATGTCTGGAGAAGTGTTGATTATTATTTAGGTAGACAGATCATTGAATCAAAAGTGTACTGGCTGTTACTTTAAAGCTGGCTATGATGATAATAAACTGTGGATGGTAACATATTTTGAATTATCAATATGTCAATTGATTTTGGATTTTAATAAAATAAATTAAATTAAATTAAATAAAAATGTAAAGCCATGTACAGTCTGGTGTATGTTGCTTTGTGCACGAAGCAACACTTGCTTGCAGCCCTGTGTGATGTGTGTGTGCTGAACGATTGCAAACTTACAGAGCTGTCATGCAAAACTGTTTCGCTGGGAGCATCAAAAATGATTTTGTCATTCCTAATAGGTAGGCCTAATGTTTGATTCTTTTCATTTTATTTTTCTCACAAATGGTAAAGTATAGTTATAAACTAAACTCATGCCGAAGAGTGCCGTACGGATGGTTTCAGGCGTGCAATTATTTGCACTTCTCAGGAAGCTTTTAGGCGTACAATGTACATTGGTGTTGGAGTGCAATCGCACGCCCTAAAACAAAAGGACTGGAACTTCAGTACTCCGAAAACATGGCTGAAGTTCAGTGTTGGAGGTCTCGAGACCTGGTCTCTGTCTCGAGACCTTTTTTTGAGGTCTCGGTCTTGGTCTCGGCCAACAAG